AAAAAGAAAAAAAAAAAAAAAAAAAAAAAAAAAAAAAAAAAAAAAAAAAAAAAAACCCCAGGGTTTTTTTGAATCTAGCTGGTCCAGACAAGAACACAAAATTGCCGAAAATATGAAAATGAGTTTGAATAATGAATCAAACTGGTTAAAAGAAATTCAAACGGTCCGTTCAAGAATAATTGTGCATAAAGAAATGGTCTCAATAAATAAATTAGAAGGAAGTAAAAAAGAAGCTCTGAATTCAATAAAAGAGAGTATGATGAAAGGTTATGTTTGACTAAATAGTTAGGGTTTTGGGCTCAAGATCCCAGAATTACAGAGACCCTGAAATTAGGTATGGGAACACTTGAAACTTTACTTAAATACCCACTTGTAATTTCTAATAGGAGTTGTGTTTTGAAACCCGGACCCTTAACCGTGAACCGTTGTCTTGTCCTATCCGGTTTGACGAGTTGAACCGTTTAATTAGAACCCAACTGAAAATTGGGTTTTTTTTGGCCCTAAACTGTGCGTTTATAAAAATAAACTAATAAAATGGCTAAAATAATGTTTTTTTTACTACCCAGTTGTATATATTGTGTATAAAAGAAAAGTATGTTTAATATACGTTTTTAATTGGGAGGCTCTAAAATTCCCTTACAATTTTACATGTTTATAAGTAACTATTTTTAATATTCAATCACGACCTTACAGATGTTACAAATAATATAATAATCCGAGTTAGCATGTAGCACTAGTACAGCCAGAATTTTAGATGCATGGATCAAATAATGCACTCAAGATTTTGAGACGGGGGAGGAGTTAAGATGGTAACTATACAATACACGAGAAGTAATAAATATCCATTCTATATAAACAACTAGAAATTTAAGAAACGTTGTGGGGGCGACGGCCCCCGACACGTAGGGAGTGTAGTGTTTGAATATTGTTATGATGAACTGATTGATAAATAAATTATGGATTATGAAGTTAAATATAGTTGTTCTTAATAATACATGTAAAAAATACCAGCAAAAGAATAAACTTTTAAAAAAATGAAATTGACCGACCCTCATTAGGAAAATTGGAATCTAGCCTTTACCAATAGGGAAACGGTCTAGGGTTCGAGTTCCCCCTTTCCTACTTCGCCTTGCAATGGACTTGAATTAATTAAAAAATAAAAATAAAAAAAATTTGCAAAATAATAAAAAAAAAAATATGAATGCTTGTCGTTTAGGGGAGAAATAGAGCAATAAACGACAGAGATATGGTGACATATGGGTCATCCATGCGGTGGGACCCATCACTCTACATTTTGCTTTGTCTAAAACCTTTTTATCTTGTGTCACTGTCAAAATAAATGACTGTCCCTTTATCAAGAGCATTTAACCTTACGTGTACGGTCAGGATTCATTTCAACTTGACTCGATTCTGCTGCTTCTAAATATCCTTTTGTCCTCATTTCTTCCTTGCTTAAATTCTGACAATCCCTCCAAAAAGTTTTCACAACGCATTAAACGCGAGTAGACCAAAATATCGTCTCGCGATATATTTAGCCCACTAAAATTTAACTATTTATGTATTTATTTATTAATTATTATTATAATTATAATGCAAAAGAAGTCTATAGCACTCGATTCTTCTTTTGAAGTAATATCTCATTTTCATATTATCTTACTTACCTGGACATACATTTATTTTTACTATTTTCGTTCAAAAGAATCTATTTATTTATTTATTTATTTATTTTTATAATCATGAATATTTTATAGTTTCAAGCACAAAATTACTAAAGTAACTAACATACCTATACCAATATAATCAAAACTTATTAATTACGCCAATATTATTTCTAAATTTTCGAAAAAAAATTCCTCGCAAGTTGCAACCTTTACCTGCTGAGAACTAGCAACTAAACGGATCCCATTTTTCGCAGTTCGATTTAAATTATTTATCAAAAAAAAAAAAAGTTCGATTTAAGGAACTTCAATCAGATATCAGGAAACAGTTAACATGCAGATTAAACCAAAGTCAACGATAACCAACCGAAACTACGAAAATAGTGACATGAATATCTTCACATCCATACTTTGAAATGCCAATGCCTGAACATTTAGGTACATATTAAAGTAACGAATTTATAGGGTTTACGAAGTTTAGCCAAAAACATACATGATGATTATATCCCTAATTCATTCTTCAAGCAGACACCGGCTATTTTATCTATATATATCCATCTTCACGCATTCCAAGGGCTGCCTGCATGTATCAAGAGTAAGATAAAGCAATTTTAGTTATGTCTTATTAGGAACGAAGAACATGTATTGCAAGTAGCTAAATATCATGCTAATTCGATTCGGTAATAATTTATCAGTCACTTGGGCACGTATCAGCATACAAAGTTGATATACACCACCAATTAGGAATGTAATTTGAACTATACGGAGATAACAATTGTACTGAACAGAGGGAAATTCCGCAGAATCAACATATTAACCCCATATAAAACTGCGATAACTGAACCTATTTATGATCAAATATTTATGCCCCTGCCTCGGTGTTCGGAGGTGAAATTGCTCTATAGAATATAGTTGTTTTCTATCGTAAACCCAACCACCTTCAACTCTTTAGTTTGAATAGTTAATTAACACTCAACATACCCAAACTTATATTGATAAAGAAAATTCAATCTATAATCTTTTCCAATTGAATCTACGTAAAAAAATCGCAATAATAGACGCCACAAATTTTAAAGACAGAACCATACAAAAAGATAGCATAAAACACATATTAGAACACTATGTCACAAGTATTCTAGAGATTTTTTCTTTTTTCTTTTTTCAATAAACGGGCATTCAAGAGATTAGAAATGCATTCTCACCATGCAAAAAGATTAAGATACTGAATGTGCACAATACCAACTGTCTACTGAAACAATGCTGGGAAAATTAAACGTGAACTAAAGCATTACAAAATAGCTTAGAGAGTCACGTATAGAGTATAAAAGTTTTCGGTCATACAGTAAAATGCATATGATATACAAAGTACAAACACACTGGTCAAAGAAGCTATTACTGAGAAGGCATTTATTTCTACCTTAACGAACAAACCACACTGTTAATAGCTATAGGATTTCAGTCTACAGATGATTTAGGAACTTATAACTACAGATTCTGTAGTCTGTAGAGTAGAAAGCGCAACTGTTCGACTCGTTTTCGTGCTAGGATTTGCTTACGGCTTAACTACGTCCAATCCTAATCAATTGAACATAAAAGTTTGATTCTTGCTAGTGTTGCAATTTCATGAAAAGATTCATAACTTCGTCTAGGATCGAGAAGCCTCAGAGGAATTTGAAGATTTTATTGCTGCTTTTTAAATAGATTCCCAAGCTATATCTTATCTAAATTCCTTTTCTATACACCTTTTTCGATCCTAGCCGACCAATCTTTAAATTTCACAATTTAAGGGTTGTCTTGCACTATCAATAAAATTGTTCATCACAGAAATATATGTAGTCGATTCGTCATGGTAATTGTTCCTAAATTATATGAAAAAATCAAACACGCAACAGCAATAATTGTTCGATCAAATAAATAACGCGGAAAAAATTACTTGGGTGAGGAATTAGTTGTAGTAGAGCTCGAGGCCCATGCCGTCATGGATCTCGTAATCCTTGAGGGTGATGTGATCCTTGTAGATGGTGTACCACTTCTGGATCCTTATTTTGTCGGCGCGTGTACCAGTTTGCGCAGCCACCAGCTTCTTCAAATCTCCGATTGTGTCGTCGTCGTTGCACTTCACGCGCACCTTCTTCCCCAGACGATCGTTCAGCACCACCTCAATCATTTTCACCTCTCTTTCTCAACAGCAGCGCCAAACCCTAGAAGAAAATTAGAATTCCCCTTTCCCCCTTTTTTGCTCTGTATGTATATCAATCTATTTTCTGTGTTTATATTTATATTTATATTAATTTATTAGCTGCCGCGAGCCCGGATAGAGATTCTAATCCGACGCGGAATTGGAATAGGATTCTTATGCGGTCGGGTCGGGCCGACCCTACCCATGTCTAGGAGATTCGGTCCACACGGTGCCGTTTTGGATCATGAATTGGACTTGCTACTTGGGTAACTTTTATTTATTTTTTTATTTTTTTTATTATAAGCACCGTAGTACAATTTTTTAAATCCTATAATTGTTTATTAATACTTAATTAACTATATTAAATATTATTAATGTATGATAAATGTTTGTAATGTTGCATGTTTTTTTTCTTATGTTCCATAATTTAATAATATTTTATAAATGTTAATAATTGTTTAATAAATGTTATTAATAATTGTTAATTAGTCAGAGACAGATTAAAATAATATTTAGAGAATTTCAGGTATTTTCAGTTTAAAAAAAAAGGTAAGCTATAGTATACATTTTTTTGCGATTTCCATTTACTAGTAAAAAATTACTAAAAGTAATTATTTATTTATTGATTGCTTATGGAAAAACATGTATTCAATTTGAATGTTAAAAAATATTAGATAAGGGTACATTTTACACAATGATGAATAGTTTGTTTGAATGATGAGAATTAAACAATAATATGTGAAACGGACAAGAGGGTACAAACAACCCCAAAATCTTTTAAAAACAAAATTGAAGCAACCACTGATGAAACAACCAGTCACAAACAACAATTACATAACCCCTAACAAAGATGCATCTCCAATTTAAACAACAACAAAAACAAACATACACTGCTGTACATACCTTCGCTGCGTAAAAACCCGTGCCAGCACATAAACGGTTGATCTTCTCAGATTTCGTTTCGATAAACTTACTCCAACACTGTAACTTCTTGATCAACTCTCCAATAGTTAGTATCGTTAAATTCATTCAAATCATCCGAATCCTCTTTTTCCGTTTTTTTCGGTACAATACTCTTCTTGAGTGGGCCCGCTTCTCCTACAATCCCTTCCTTCAGAGCCTGCTCCATAGCTTTTTCGGTACCCTCTAACTCAACGCCCACAAACTCAACATCCTCTTCAAATAAAGAAGGCACAACAATATCTTTCTGAGTCGACTCGGATTTAACTGAACCAGAAAAATCAGGAGAAGTTGAGGTCCCATTTGGGAAAGAATTGTCGGTTTGGTCGTCAAACGGGTTTACACTGGCCCCACCGACTTGAAAATCTGCCTCTCCCCATGCTGACCACTCGGGTATTGACCTGTCTTGAAATGGATCTTCATCGTTGTCGGTGATATTATTATTCGCATTAAATTCGTTAATAATATTTGCTTCCAAAGTTTTGCTGTCAGCCAACTCATCTTCTTCACCGACCACTACTTCATCGTCACTACTGCTGTTGCCACTGTTTGAAGCCCCGTTCAACTTTAGGTCATCCAGTGCGTCAGATAGTGAGTTGCCGTTAGTTTCATCGCCCCCCATTCTGTCGTCTTGGAATGCAAACCAGTTGGAATTTGTGAACAAACTGCCGCCAAAAGAATGAAAATAATGTCATACAACACAAAAGTTCTATAATTTATTTTATTCCAAAGTGAAGATAAATCAGGAAAATGGTAAATAACGAGACTAACCTCCCTTGGTCATCGCCCAACCTTAAGGATGAGATTACGACTTCGGCGGATTCATCATCAAAGTAGACATCCTAGAATTTCATCAATTTTGTATTCGTCAGCATTTGCACAGGCTAATTCATTAAAAGAGGAGAGAGAATTGAAAAGCTCTTTTATCTATGTTTTGTTCATCGGAAAGAAAATATATGGTTAAACGAGGTGCTCCCTATTTAAAAAATTGTACAAAGAGAATAAGAAGATTTGAATTTGGGTAGTACCTCATCATCACGATCAAGAGATCCATGACCCTGCAACAAGAATGCACATGTGAATTATCCGGGAAAAATACATTTTCATCCCTCAAGTTCTCAATTTAACATTTGCCCCCCCTTGTTCACAAAAAAAACAGATTTAGTCCCTCATGTTTCAACAATTTAACACTTAGTCATTTCCATCAGTTTAGACGGCAATGGCAACATGCTTGAACCTGTTAGTACTAATGGAAGATTGACGGATAGGACCAAAAGTGTTAAACTAATGAAACATGAGGGACTAAATCTATTTTTTCGTGAACAAGGGGGACAAAATGTAAAATTGATGGACGAAAAGTGTTATATAATCTGAATTATCCAACACATGTTCAATTCAATTGTAGAGAAAAAGTTACAAGGAGTTAGAATGCAGTTTTTCTTTTGTACCACTTATTCATATTTACCTCAGCATCATCATTGTCATACATGTTGTATCTAAATGCTTGGCTTAAATTATTTGCCAAGGCTGCAACGTCATAATCTCTATCATGAACATCGTCATCATCGCTATCCCTGGTCCTGTCTTGCAGTGCAGTTGGCCGCCTGCAAAAGGAGGGTAAGAACTATCATTTACAGAAAGGGAAAAGAAGCTCCACACGACAAACAAATAAATTAAAAACAATAGGCACATGTTGAATGACCACACCAAACGCTTAAGGCTGTTAGGGAGGTGAATCGTTTAATGCTTATATCTATCTTCAAGACTCCAACACCACATGTATACAAGCTACTTTGCTATAACATAAATATCAAACACTTAGGTAACTGACAAACGTCTCCAATCATATTGAACTTTGTAAACCGAATTACAGACTCAAGAAAGCACTAAAACTTTGAAGTACGTGAAATTTTCATCAAGTCTACTCATGTAAGTTTGACCACTAACATTTTGTAGTAAATGGACAATAACCTGCATCAATCTACTTTGTGTAAAAGCAAGTGCCAATAATGAGAGAAAGGCATACCCACAAGCCCATCGATAAACATTTTCAAGTACACCACGCTCATGCAGGACTGTAGTCTGAAACTCATTCCACTCATTATTTTCCTGAAGTAAACAAAAAAAATGTAGCATTTAGAAATATAATTAAACTTGAGCACCATAAAACATTTTTTTTACATGAGCCTCGATTCTCACTCAGAAGTATCACATATTGAGTTCAGACTATAGTCATAACTGGGAATGTCGTTAGGTCCAACATAAAGTTCTGAACACGCCACTAACCTGAAGATGTTTTTGAATATCACTGTTTCCTGACTGGATTAATTTATTTGATATCCGTGTCAGGTGTCCAAAGTATCCTGCTCGAGGAGCACGTCTTCCCGAAGAGGGCAAAGTTGGCTGCATTTGAGATATTGCAATGATATATTAAACTTGAAATCATACTCGTGAAAAAAAATTTAGAAAAAAGAGAAAAAAAGAGGCGGGGTGAGATGAAGCAGAATGTTAAGGACACATCTATTAACCATACCGAAGATGACGTAAAAAATCCAACAGTAACATACATGTATATTTATTTTAATTGCTAGGCAACATGACAAAATAAGACTAGTTGCACTCAGTAATCATTTACGTTCTCATCTTTCCAGTTTTCTATTGGAAGTGCCGACTTCATCTCTCCACCGTAAAGGTTGAGAGAATAAAATAAGCTACAAAAATTAAAAGGTATACATAAACAAACAAAATAAATATATGACAAACATTTACCAGATTAAGTTCACCCGAAAGTTCAGGATTTCTATCACTTTGTAGAATTTTGCCAACCAAATTACAATCTGAGAGAAGATGATCAATGATGGCACTATTTTTGCTATCCAAACATGAATATATAACGCTCTCCACATGATGATGCAAAGCATTATTGTATGGATACCTGCATGGGTAATATAAGATCATCAACACTGTATTAGATAGTGTAACTTTTGATACCAAGTTCCATTGAAGAAGAAATCAAAGCTTTTGTTAAGATAGTATCTTTTGGAAGGTATAAGAGAAGTAGCAGTAATATAAAATTCTTACTCAAAAAATAGATCAATGACTCTCTGTATTGTTCCAGAGCCGATCAACTCTTTCTCAGACACCTCATTGCCAGTTTTTAGCAGCACCGCAAGGAATTCCACAATCTAAAACAATCACTTATATCATTGACAAACTACATGACTTATTTTCCCCAGTTCCGAAGGAGTGTGCACATAAAATTGGAGATGTAAACCGTACATTATCAAGTAAAAATGAATTCACAACAAGAGCTTTGATATTGAAATAAAAATTATTTATTTATTGTAAAATTGTAGTAAATTCCGTGTCCTTTCCCACTATGTTGATGTATGGAGTCCTACATTTAACTAACTCTTGACAATTTGGGTGGGGGGGGGAACAGTTACGATAATGAAGTTTCATAACATCATGTTAACTAACCTTCAACCGATAGGTTCCCAGAGGTGGCCTCAATTCACCATAAGTTGTGGGTAAAACTATCTCGTCAGATGAAACATTCAAAAGCATCAGCAGCTCTCCTGGAAAAAAAACATGTACATGCTTATCACTGCAGTTCATGGAAAATCATAGAAAACGATCACATGCCAACTAAAATATAAGATGCCTCTGAAAATTATGCTAAATCTTTTAGAACACATAAAAATCCAAGAATGGAGTAATATCACAGAACTGGAGAAATTTTAACAATTCAGTATTCCATATTGAGCTGCTTGTGTCCCATAAATAAAAAGTCTCTCCAACAAAAACATGTACAACGTACGGCAGCATACCTAGTTTCGGAAGCATAGCACCAACAGTTTCTGGATTAACATGTACTGCTGGTTCGTACATATGTTGACTTCTGAAAGAGTACATCACTGATGAAGGAATTGATCTTTTTGGATCCAATAAGGAAATGCAAACAGATAGAGAGTGGACAAGGGCAGATTTTGAATGGGAGTCCTCGAGTGCATGACCAAATATTCTTGACACAAAACTGCATTTAAGAAAGCTAGTAGGTCAACACATTCATTTTACACAAAGATATAGAGTACATAGCAGGAAACGTTCACTATATACCTTGGACTGGATAGTTTAGTGGCCAGGGGTGATGGCACATTCCTGGTTATAGCACATAATGTTTCCGCTGCATTGGCATGTACTTCGGGAGTATTCTGGAGGACGCAGAATATGTCATTATCAGATTGCACAAATATTGAGTTTTAAGTCATAAACAGAAGTGTGTTCAGCATAGAATCCTCATATTAGAACAAATGCAGGGTAAACCAACAAAGTATAATTTGTATAGTCTAATCCTTATAACCATGCATTCATAATTAACCAAAAAAAAAAGTTATGTGAGATCCGACGGCCAGAAGGAATGATTGAGTGAAAGCCACGCCAAAACATAGCAAAGCAGCCATCCTTATCGAAATAAACTTATCGCAACGGTAAAAGACACATATCAAACATACCGAGGTGTTAAGTTTATCCACAATCATTTCTAACAAGTTGCTATCAGCCAACCACTGCATGACATCCAATGAATTTGGGTAGAGATGGTCATCTGCACCTACAAGTCGCACCAAGACCTGATAACAAAGAGCTCAATGAGGAGAGAATTACCAACAAGAAGCGTCGTAAGCCACCCAATTTGATATGCAAGGACTAAAAGAAACAAACATCTCAAGTCAAATATAGCAATATAAATATAAGACTTAACCTCCATGATAGATGTGACGCCAATCAAATCAACCAGCTGCTTAAAAACATCTTGGTGGACCTGCAAGAAGACAATGTCAGTTAAAAAATAGAGTTTTTTCTTTTCATTTTTTTTTTCTGAGGGAATTGGAAAGTAGAGTTGCCCGTAGACAAGATTAGGCCATATACTACTCTACTAGAGTAGCGAAGAGAAGCTTGGCGATTACAAAGATACAAGATTAGAACGCCATATACATCATTAGGCCCAAATTCTGCAAATGACACTACTGCAGTAGATGTAGATCTTAATATCATACAAACCATATACCAGACAGTTAAAATAATACCAACCAGTGTTTAAGCATTTATGATACAGGACCAGCAGGTACCAAAAATTCAATGTATTTGTTTTCCTTCCCTAACCCCCGACCCCGAAAAAGGAAGATGTGGGGGAGACAACCAAATGATGAGTATCACATTTCGCAACTGTTCCATATATATGTTTTACCTAAAATGAAAAGGGAAAAAACAAATATGTAAAAATTTTAATTAAATCACCTTGACATAGTTCATCAGGGAAATAGTCTTCCGCAACATTAAGCATACCACAACCTGCAACAAACCAGAAATTTCATCAAACGAGTTGCTTGTGCTACAAGTCCAGAATCAATTTTGAGCATGAAATACTGCATATGCTTATGGAACCATCAATTCGAACCTTACTAAAATACCCAGCCAACAATGCACTATGATGACGGTTTGGTTCCAGAAAAGAGAATAGTAAATTCATAAGCTGCAACAAGAAACAGAATTTGATTAAACCATAAGGCAGAGTGATCATCAGAAATTTGACATTAATATGTCTCTTAAATTGTACAATAGGAAGATCTCACCTCCTCCTCCTCGACCAAAGTCTTCAAGATGACATCAATTTCACAAGTAAAGACTTCACAGGCAATGAAAGGAAACCTGCAAAGTGAAACAAAAGTTTGACCACAATTGAGATCTTCCCAAAGAACCAGATTTAACTGGCTTTCTTTCTTTGTCATCCTTTATTCCTTCCTGAAATAAATTCGTAGAAATAAGGAGTTTCTTGCGAAACATGGGCAAAAGCTTCAAAGATTGGAACGCGAATTATTGGTTTTACAGCTATATTGACATACTTGAATGTTCGTTTGCTATCAGCATCTTCAGGGGGGTCCTCAACGATATACTGTAGCAGCTGCTCAACCTGAGCTCTATCTCTCAAACTGAAACCAAAGAACTTTAAGAGTTAAAAGCAGAATCTGCAGTTAATGATTTCCAAAGCAAATTGAACCTTATGAAGTAAAGAGACAGCTGAAAAGGCATATACAAATTTATGAGGCGACTGTTTAACGCTTTGCACTCTTGGATTATCTCTTCTTCATCCAAAAGCTCTTCCAGTGTAAAATCTTCCTTGTCCAGCACAGCCTCAACCTAAAGCCACAACATAAAACAAAATGACATAAGCAGGTTAGTTGAAAAAAGTTGATGATAAAAGGAACCACACTGCAGGGTTGTACCAGTGAGCAAGCTTAACTCTACATGGTCATCTAGTGTTTAGCTAGAACTTTATCTTGACTTTAAATCTTTTAAGCAATCAGTTTGTGACTCGACACACTTGACAATTTATGAATCAGTCTCTTGCTACCTTGCTGCAGAGATATAACTAACCGAGGCTCCTAAATTTGATAAGATGAATTTAAGACACGATAAATATAGATCAACTCATCTAAAGCAAGGTGACTAAAAGAGACCCAGACTTAGTTGCCCAGATATTCAGATTAGAAAACTAAAGAACTGACCCTAGACACACCTGGCTCAAAAGTTTGATCACATAAGCTATAGAAACCAAAATCATCATCAGATAAGATTTTGGGGAACAATGAAAGGTAATATCATTCCTAATGAGTAACCCAGAGGGTAATACACCTGATATCTTCAGGTCTACAGAGACATCTCCAAGCAATTCAGGTCTGCTTTGTTTTTTATAGTGATTGTGCATTTACTAATTCAATACACAGTCACTGGTTCTCATTTTCTCAAATAGCAAAACTATCATAAAGGTGATACAATGTACACTCCTATATGGATATATTCAGCGGTATTTTCTGAAGTCATAAATAAAAATTTACTAATTTTCATAATTTCATTAATTTAATTGTATCTAACTAATTACATGTTTATTTATTAATTCTTATTTTTCTTATGTATGGCTATTTTTTATTCTGTTTTTCGTATTCGATTGATGATATTTCCAACATGAACTCTACATACATTTTATTTAGGTTTTTTTTTTATACTGCTGTCAATATTTGACATAACAACAATTTTTATGTCTTCATTATGTGACCAACAATTCACATCAACCCAACATTTGGACCTTTTGACAGATAGACCAGGACAGGTTTAATAACTAGAATGAGTGATCCTAAATCCACACTTGACACTTCAAACAAGTCATAAAATTCGAATCTAAATAGTCCATTTACAGCTTATAGTGCTATCTCAATTTAAAGTCTAAATATCAAGGCAGCAACAATATCACAAAAATTATGTCAAAATCCACATCGGTAGTTAGTCAAACTGCTGAAAGCTGGGCACAACTGCAATACAAGTCTAAAACGTGATGAACAATAATACAACGAAAATACAGAGATCCAGAATAATGATCATTTCCGACTCTTTTTATTGCATCGACAAGCAGAATGATGAAATAAGTAACAGCTGGAAGTTCAACTTCATCCTACGAACGTTCAAATCGGTCATATGCAAAGTTCAAGAAATAGCCCTAATGTGGAAATAGAAGTAGCTAAAAACAGACCAGCAAAAATCTAACTCCCCTCGGTTCCCGACACATAAATCTAACCACATTCCCTGATTGCAAAATGTTGAATGAAAAATAAAACACTGAGGCAATAATATCTAGATGAAGTAAACGAACATCAGCTCAAGTTTCTAACAAGCAAAATTCAGGCCAGAAACTACTTCACAATTCAACACTTCACAATCGATAAACCTAGCAAAAAATTAAAAAAGTAAATAAATAAATAAATAAAAACATTAGCACAGAAAGGAACTGCCATATTGACTTACAGGAGAGGAGGCAGACAGAGCTGTGAGCTTCCAGAACATATTCGCCGGCGTAGAGAGACAAACTGAGCAGCGGAGAAACAGATGAAGCTGAGCAGATCTGTAAATCCTAAAACCCAATCGAGATGCAGAAAAAAGTAAGCTTACAGCTGAGATTTCAAACAGGATACCCTGAAGAAATTGGAACTGTGCGAGAAGTGTGGAGCAGATAAACCCTAATTTTGGAAGATCGAAGAGATGATGGCGGAGCCGCAAAAAGATCGAGCGCGGCCAGAGACTTTCTAATTTTTCTTTCAATTTTTAGTACTATTGTTATTTGTTATTGTTTTTCAGTTATTAATATTTTTTTTATGAGGGGCTAAAATAGAAACTGGAAAATAAATAGATTTTTTATTTTTTTTTAAATAAGAGAAAATAAATAGATTCTATGTATGCTATTTAATATGCATGATGACTCATGTATGTTTGAATACTTGTGGGGCCAGCGGCTTAGCAATAATCATGCATTTAACTATCCTAGTCTTATATTTAACTATAGTAAACCATTTAAGAATCTCTTAAGTTGAATTATTCTAAATCCTTGTTATAAGACTATTTTTTTTAACATACACTTAAATCTCGATAAATTAATAACCTCTTTTGAAATAATAATAATTTCTTCTGGTTGTTGTTCGGTATAAATGTGTAAAAATTATTAGTTCAATAATTTAATATTTCATTAAATTAATAGGATTTTGATATTTTCAATTGTATTAATTTAAAGAGATTTAATTGTACTTGATAAATTATTCGTTCCTTCAACTGTGTTGCGCAACTTGAAAGTTGTTGTCCATTATAAGTATATGAATGTAATTTATTGTTGATGTTATTATAAATTTGCAACGATAATAGATAATCGTGAAATTAATACATTTTAGTGATGAGTTGTTATTAATTATTTATCAACAAATGAAATAATACATCATCATAATTTAGTTTATGGAGATTACCTTCGTGATTTTCGTTCAAAACGTATTAGATGGAGTTCGTCGTAAAATCATAGTTTAGTAGTTAACAATAAAACTTATATATTTAATTTAATACTAATAAATATATATATATAATATTTATTTATATATATTTTCTGAGCCATTGATGGCACCAATTTGTCACCATAGATATATGAAAGATATAATTAATAATAATTGAAAAAAGAAAAAAGGGTGAGGACAAGTGCAGGGTCACGTGCGATCCCAACGCTATTTATTTATTAATAATTAATGATTTTAAAATTTGCAGGTACGTCCTCGTATGATTCAGAAAATGTCGATCTAGTCACGTGCGTCGTCTTTTTGAATACGGAAAGGCCGCAGTGCTCACCACCTGCTTCTTAATCAGTGTTTACTTTCCAATATTGTTTACTTAATCAGTGTTTACTTATTACACTACAAATATTTAAAAAAATAAATTTGAAAAAAAAACATCAGTATATTTGAAATTAAATTGACCAAAAAAGAAATATTGCCTACAAAAGTTACACAAAGGACCAATTCACAAACGAGAAGGCTAAGCAGTGCACTGTGGTTTCGTCTTCTGCGGCAAAAACTTTCCACACGAAGGCTTGTTCGTACGAAATGTGACGCCCCATTATCGACATGCATATACCACCCGGCAACTGAGCAAATCCCTGAAAAAAATATTTCGACGTACTAATTAAACATAGGTAAAAATTTCTACAATTTTAGGGTAAATTATGGCTACCTCCTTGAGGTAAGGTCAAATTACAAATTACACCCTCTTGTTTAGATAATTACAACCACCCCTCAACTATATTTTGTCTCACGTAAGAGAGGTGTGGTTGTAATTATTGAAACAAGAGAGGTTTTTTCGTAATTAGACCTTACCTCGGGGGTTGGCCGTAATATGCCCAAAATCATAATTCATTTTTTGTTAGCACACAACCTCCTAAATGGTGCGTTTTCGAACAAGGCTAACTTGGCTAATATTTATAACATGAGATATTTCTGATAATTAGAGAAAACACGGGGTGGTAAATGCAATAAACCCGAATCTATTATGATATAGGATTAGGGTTTTATATGTTAAGAATACCTGTTGCATAATCTTAGCAAATTCTGAAAACAAAGCCTTTCTACCACAATCGTCGAATATCTTCTCTAAAGGGATATCTTGCAAAGAGACGAGAGTAGTCTCCAGCATATCTAATCCAGCCTGGTTTGCGAATGTGAAAACGGGCACAGCCTGTTTGTCGAAGGGGGGATCACGTATAAGAACTACAGTGGCCGAACTTTAACGAGTGCAAAAAAGAACGAGGAAACAGACACGTGATGCATGTATGCATACCTTCAACGAGCAGCATAAAATGGCATCTTGGTGTTGCCAGAGTGATTTTAGCAATCCTTCACCACTAGCACTGTCAGTACTTCTGAGCAACTCACTCCCGACATAGTAGCTGTGTATAGGGCAGAAACAAATCGGTTAGGACAGGCATGCATGTGTGTTTGATTGTGTGTTTTGTGTGTGTAATTAAAAATAATAAATAGTCAAAAGAGAGGATATGTTTCGTCTTGATTTCTTGAAATCTATGCATGTGTGTGTGTGTGCGTGTGTGTGTGCGCGTGTGTGTAATCACGGAATGGTGTGCTGAAACTGTTCGATGAAAATCAGTTAAGATGGTTCTCCGGATCGAGACAGGTGGCATCACCAGAACCGTAGATAAATCAAACATCTTAGGGCAGTAGTGCACCTATAGCTCTGGCAGATCCAATGTGCGAGCGTTAGGGCTTCGGGAGAGGCCGGAGATATCTTGGGCCCAACAACGGGGCCCGTTTCCGACGGGGAAATAGCCATTGCAACCCTCTGGACCGAAGAAACCACACTCCTCACGTACTGACGGGCCATCGTAGCAACATTATCCTGTAAACTGCTCTCGAACGGGAACTGGAAAGCAATAGTCAGTATCGATCTCCCACTGTACGCTGCATTTTTCCCGTTGTTATTTCCTACCGTGGGGCCCACCTCGAGACTCGAGGTCAGATCGAGTGTCTTGTGATGAGAAGTCAGTGAGTCCTGCAAGTCAACCTGTAAGAGTTGAACGTCATTAGTGGAAGACAATTTATAGAAAAATATGAAATTTGATTAATTTTTTAACGAATAACAATTTATAAAAAAACTCAACTGGTTTTGAATCTAGTGGGATTATACGAAAACCGGAAGGCAGCAACTGTGCGTCGTCAGGAAACATTTCATCGATCGGTGCAAAAATGAGCTCGGAGCAAGCTCCTACTGCACTCTCGTCGATTCCAGTGCACAACTGCGTATAGGAATACATCAATTCAGAAAATACTGCCCTACTCGAAAAATAACCAATCTCTAAATAAAATACTCCCTCCGGTAAAATAATATCAAGATTGGTACACAATTATTACAGAAGATAAGAAAAAACACACATAAAAAAGACTAAAGTACCCTTTACCATCTAATGAACTGCTGCTAAGGATAAGTTAATGCTCAATAGAGTTATTGAATTATAGAAATTACACATAAAAAGACTAAAATACCCTTTACCTAATTAAGAAAGAGTTAATCTATAAAGCCACTGATAACATAGAAAAAGGGTATATTGTGTTTTTTTTTGAGAAACAGTCGGGGAGGGGGCATGCCCCCATGTGGCTTATGACAAAAGAAGGCACCTGTAGAAGATGAATGTCCCTCGGCATAAAAGCATCTTCGTGGCTGAGCGAATGCCCTTCTAAACGAATAACTTCAAGCATCTGTAATGCAAATACATTCCTAGTCAGCGAAACCCCTTTTTTTAACGAAAAAAAAAAAACTAGTGTACCTATAATAGCACACAAACACACACCTCTTCATATTCAATTGTTTGACCAAGCGGCATGATAATTTGACTCCCCGTAAATCTAGTGTGGTCCCTCATGCCAGGGTACGCGTACGTGCTTTTCAAAGACGCAGCAGCATATGCATCCACATTAAAATCTGCCCACTCCGATCGATGCTCCCTCAGGAAACGAACTAGCACAGCTGGAGGAACATTCTGAAACCCCCCCAGAAAAAAATTAATAATAATAATAATAATCACGATTATAGTCGAGTAAAAATAAGTAATCGCGTTTCCATTTAGACATAAATATGAAAGAGAACCTGAAGTAGCATAGATGCTTTCGCACAGAGAATCCCTCCTCCAACCATAGGAATAGTATTTGAACTACTTGTTAGATTCTTAGCTGAAGTGACGGCAATTATTACATCTTCAGCATTATCGTTGCAGTTTAATAACGACCACCCATCATCGTTGAATCCATTAATAGCATCATTAAAGCCTCTGCGTAAAAAAAAATACAAAAATACTATATTACGTAAAAAAAAAATGCACGACAACTTTATAGGTTAAATGTGGGATGGATTTATAAGCAAAATTACCTGCTTAATTTTTGGCTGAAAGTTCGAAGAACAGCTGGTTGCCTTCCGAGGCCATATACAACCTCACCGCTCGTTTCTTGAGCTATTTGTCGGATATATTTTAGTGCCTATTAAAAATAACATTAATTAGCTAACTTAAAATAATAAATATTGTGTAAGGACAAAATTTAAATTGTACTCACAGCAATAGTTGTTCTTTGTGCGACTACTTTTGAAGATTCGTAGAGTGGCCGGAGAACTTCCGGAACGTTCCAGGCCTATACAATGGACTTGAAATCTTAACCGTTTTATTTTAAACTCTTATTAAGAAATTTATGGGTGGAAAAGGTAAAATTACGGAAATGACCTCGAGATTAAGGTGATCTACGATGTGAATAATGGATCCTCCGCCATCACACGGGCGGATCAAATATCCGGACGGAAGCATTTCGGCTCTCACAAACTGTGAAGCCGCAGCTGCGTTCGGGCCTGCTCCAGTCCCCGAAAGAGACCTCTCGCATATCTTAATTGATGAAAAAATAAAATTAGAGATATATGAAAAACGAATTACAAACACATAATTATTTCGTTAAGGCTTTGTTTGGTTGGTGGAGATTAGCCGTGAGTAATTAAATAACTGGACTTTGTTTGATGTTTGGTATTTTTTTGCGGGTCAACCCAGAAATATTATTTATCATTGCTTATTTTGGCTTAGTTGGGAGATTATTTAATTAATAATTATTAATCTCCCCAACCAAATGAGGCCTAACGGAATAAAAATGAGGTGCTACTGCAAAGATATGCATACCACAAGACTGCCGTTTTCCATGGTGGTTGTGTATCTCAGTGTCCAAAAATCACGAGCAGGAGCTAAAGTAGTTGGGGCATATGTCTGAAAAGCACAAAATAAAATACGTGTTACTATTCATTTATTTTTACTTACATTGCAAAATGCAACATACGAAAAAATAAAATAAAAAATTCGCCCAATTAAACCTGTGTGTACAACATTTCTATTGTTCCTCCGTTTCCAGCAGGAAACATAGTGAAAACCTCGAGGCTCCGACAGTCACGGAACCAAGACGAACGATCTTTAAGGATCTCTGCAATCTGCAAAATCTTGAAATAAATTAATTTGCTTTCAAATTCCTTATTATTGAAATTTTTTATTTTTATTTTTTGCTTACCTTTATAGGTTCTAAACCAACAAGACCGCACGCTCGAGCCGCCACTCCACTACAACTCTGCGAAATGGCAAAGATCCCAACCGAACCCGGACCAGGCTGTCGGAAAAAAAAAATTGATTTTTGAAGGACAGAATAATTTTGTTACTAACTTAATTTGAAATAAATAAACAAAAGAAAATGCTGTATTGCATTTCGAGTTTTTTTCGGACCTTCATTCCAGGCATTTGAACCCAATCGACAGCGGTTCCTGTAGCCTTTGAAAGGAACTCTGCCAAGGTTTCCTCTGCAATTGAGAGGAGTCTGCGTAAAAGGCAAATACATATGGTAAATTAAAACAATATTATTTAATTATTCTCTATTTTCATAAATATGGAACTCTGTACAATTTACAAATAAAATAAAATAAAAAATTAGAAAAATTGGGGCCAACGAAATATGTACCCAGCAGGATTACTAGCATCTCCGAGGGAATGCCGAGGGGTTGTGACCGCCGACTCGCAACTCGCATCAACGGCAGTCGGTCCCGTTGCCTGCAAAAAATTATATATATAACATTTCGAAATCGAATTTTAATGTTCAAAAATCAAAATTGGCGGAATTGCAAAATAAAATAAAATAAATTGCATACGCTGTGCAAGTGTTGTTTCATGAACCCATTTTCGCAGACGAGTTGGGAAACCTGTTTCTGAAGGCGGTCGTTTTCCTCCATTAGAAGCTTGTTCATGGCGTTCAATTTCCTGTTCACACTCTGTAATCTCGTCGATTCTTTTCTCTGTTTCTCTCGACACCTAATCATAATTATTAATTATTTTTAATTTTTAAATTTACTCGGACTGCAAAATTAAAAAAAAAATTGAAAACAAAATAATTACCGGCGGTTCTGGAACCAAACTTTGATCTGTTTGGGCTCAATGTTGGAGAGAATAGGGCATTCACGGATGAGTTGTTGGCGGCGGAGTGAGCTAGGTTTAGGGCACTCAACGTACACCCTCTCTAGAGCCTCCACTTGCTCCGCCGTGTACCGGACGTACTTTCCGGCGGCGTCCAGATGCTTACTCAGGCTACCGCCGCTGTTCTCTCTGTGATGCTGCTGCTGCGCCACCATAGCCATTTTTTTTCTCTCTCTAATCCTCCAAAAAACTAAAAATGGAATCTGTTTTTTTTCAAGGAAGGAAGATTCTCTCTGAGTTAGGGTTATAATTTAAATTAATGATAATGATAATTGATAATCTTCATGGTGATCTGAGAATTAAAGGATAGAGATGGAGGATTATGATTGAGGCAGAAGATTTATCTGAGAAACAGCCAAAATAGCTCAACGAAAGGTAAGTAGGCTTGTATATATGTATCTATCTATTTTATAAAATCATATGCATGCTGACAAAATTAAATCTGTTTTCCTTTTTTTTTTTTTTTTAATTTTGGTTTTCTATTATCAAAGAAGAATTCACCCCTGATTCAAGGCAACACAAAAATGTTGGAAGATCAGCAGGAGAAGAAGAAGAAGAAGAAGAAAAGAGAAGGGGAGAAATTCTGTGCTGCATACATGTCAAGAGAGAGATATTGCGATCATCACAGTATGTATGTGTGTGTATCTGTAGGTGAGAGAGAAAGCTAGAGAGAGAAAGTTAGAGAGAGAGAGAGAGAGCTCGGAAATCGAGAATGGGGGGGCAGGGCAGGAGTGTTTTTATTTTATGCTGCTAGCTGCTGCTGCTGCTGCTGCACCTGTTTACTGTGCACATACACTGCTAATGCCTGCGCACCTCTGGAATTCTTTCTTCTTTTTTTATTTATTTTTATTATTTTATTTTGTCTAGGCCACCATTAATATTAAAAATAAAACAAGAGATTTAATTAAATGAATATTTGGAACTGTTTATTGTTTGAAGTGACGAGAGGACCAAGATTATATTGCCTTAAATGCTTTGGTCAAATCACATACAAACACAATCTTCTGCCACCGGCTAACCTCTCCCCCAGCCCCCTCTGTCCAGCACACAGCTCTCTCTCTCTCCTCTCTCTCTCTCTCCTCTCTCTAGATATATAATATATAGGGTAAATTACAAACACCCCCTGATGTATGGTCAAATTACAAAAACA